CCCCCGCAAATATGACAAGTATTGCCGAATGCCCTCTCTCCGGCCTTTGCCACAATGGACTCTATCAGCCAGACCCTCTCCAGTGATCTGAATCTCGCCCCACCGTTAAGATATGCATTGTAGAAATCCTCATGCGTGGGGCGTGTAGAACCCTCACCGCTCTCACATCCCTCCTGGAGAAACCAAACCTCAAACTCAACAAACCGCATGTTGCTAAACACCGCTTTGGTCAGAAGCGGCCCTCAAGTCGAGGTGAACCACCGGAGGCGGACCCTATGGTCTGCAGGCGGAGGCGAGAACCCCTGCTGTTGTGTAATCGCCTAGGTGGAATCTAGAAGATCGGTGCGACTCGGCGGCGGGCGTAGCTGAGGTGCCGGCTCGGTCTCCTGACTCTCCTGAGTCTCCCCAAAATTGGTGAGGCTCTGCTTGGTGGGGCTGCTTCATTGTCTTGACGGACCCTCCTCAATGGTGACCCGTCGTCCTGCAAGCGTGGCAGTCCCAGCTGGACTACCGTGACGACGCTCAACCTCCTCAATCGCTGCTCTGAGTGCTGGTGAAAACGGCCGATCTGCAATGACAACTCCGCTGCGGGCACCTCCTCTCTCGGCACGCTCTGCAGCCTCTACAACAGCTGCTGCTCTCGCTGTCTCTGCGTTGGGGTACTTCCGCTTCTTGGATGTCACCTGCTTGGTTGCCTTGCCCTTCGATCCGGCTGGCTGGCGAGGCGGGGGCCTCCGATCATCATCACCTGGGCCTCCAATCAGTCGGTCCGAATAGAGCCGGAACCCACGACAAGAGAGCAACGAGCCTTCCTGCTCCCATAAGCAAGTATGGGCTCAGGGTAATATGTCTGGGACCTGACTAAAATCCACAACAACAGACGGTCTTTAACCGTCACAGGCGGAACAAGTGCAAATCCGAGCCTCGCTCGAATGCCTAACCAAGTCTAGATCTAAACTACTATTTTGTCCGATCTCCAATTATCGTTCATATATATTCCATGTGACAGTAACAATAATATCTTTTCTATCTCTCGCGAGTGACAGGTAATCACTCGACTTCTACCGGATCCTATAGCAAAGCAATCTACATAATCCTGATATATTAGGACTTATAGGATAAGGATATATAAATGCAAGTGGTTTTCATCCAACTCCTTAAAATTTAATGCACAAGCATAAAATAAAGTATAGAATAATAGGGGTTATGCACCGGGGCTTGCCTTGGGTAGGCGGATTGTCAGCTAAGTCAGTCAGTGATGGCTCCGAGACCTCCTCCTATACAAGGACCTCCTCCTCATACTCCTCGATCACCTCCTCGTACTCCTGCTCTCCGACGGTCACGAACTCCACCAACTCATTCTCTACATGCATGCAACGATGATGCAACCCTTAGTATTTTAGCAACATCAGCTCTTGAATTAAAAATACATCTACTAAGCCACTAAGCTAACTCTAATGACTAAGATGCTAAGCTAACTAGTATTTTCATCAAATAAGGTACAAATTCATCTAACACATATAACTTAACAACAAAATTATATTCTTACTCTTATTAGCGATTTAACTTATATTACAACAAGGAGCACCTAACTATCCTAGTGCTTAGCCTATTCTAGGGCTACAAAAATTACAGTGAGCACATAATAATACCAGAAAACTATCATAAAATTTTCAGGATTAAAGCTATCACCAATTTACCACAAAAATTCCTACAATATTTAACCTAGTAATATTAAGCACTCTTAAATGATTTAATAGCTCCTGGTATCAACAAGCACATATATGAACTAAATACACTAATAGATAGAGCACAATTTTAGGAACCTAACAAAATTTGTTTCACAATTTTTGGATATCTACATTATTTTATATTGATTACCGAAGTTCAGCTCAGAATTAAAATGAAAGGCTATTTCTATTTTCCACGAAAAAGATAAACCGATTTCGGCCCAACCCGGCCCACGCGGGGCGCGGCCCACGCGTGCGCTTGCACTCTTGCAAAAACACCCTCGCGTTATTAGACAATAACGCGAACACTACATGTACAATTTCTATAGACATCGACTCTGCAACGGAGCCCTCGTATCTTTTTCACCTTCGCACTGGAGAGGTCCCCAAGACGCCCCGCGCTCGCTGGCGTGGCAGGCGATGGCACTAGGCGGTACACCGGCCACCCGAGACCCTTGCAGACCTAAATAGGGGACCGATGCTCACCTATGGGCCGACGTGCGACGATGGGCGGTGGTTGCACGAACGGGGGTGAAGCAGAGCGGCCTCTGCCCGACGGTGGCGGCAACCGCGTTTCGGTGAGCCACAGCGTACAACAGATAATAGAGGTGACGGGTAAGCATCAGTGACGCACCACGATCCTACTCATGGCGGTGTCCTGGTCGAAGATGCCCCAAGCAAGTCTGGCCGCGTGCGCGTGGCGAGCTCGACAGCGAACCGTAGTGACACGACCGTGTCAGCGGCGTGGAGGCGACACTAGGGCTGCGACTAGCGTGCGCACGACGAAGAGGGGTTCTAGGCGAGGCTAGTGGTGCGGTCAATTCGACGCGAGATGGCGAGGTTGGAGCTGGCCACGAAGAGGCGGGCTGGGCCTTAATGGCGCGGCGGCGGAAGCAAAGCTCCAAAATTGGAGCTTGGCCAGGCCGTAATCAGGGCGGGGTGGGGGTGGTCGACAAGAGGACGTAAAGACAGAGACGCGGGCACGAGGAATTGATGAGAGGTGCTCGCTCTTTGACTCACCGTGACTGCGACTCGATGGCGGTAGAAAGCAGAGGAAGAAAGAGAGAGAGAGGGAGATGGGGCGCGACAGGTGGGCTCGGCTCGTCCTCGCCTTGGCGGGACGCGAGCGGCGAGATCGGGAGACCCACGCACCGGCGCTAGCCAACAGGCGCGTGCGCTCAACCGGCGTGGCCCGCGCGGCCGCAGTGTCATTAATGACAAGGCGACGGCGAGCCCAACCACGTGTGCGCGACAGAGGCGACACGCACACAGTGCAGAGATGCAGCGGGCAGGCGTGGACACGACGACGCTGCGATGGCAGTGGCAGCGTCGCGACGCGAGGCGGGTCGGCAGCGCGGCGAGGCAGCAGTGACGGACGCGATGGCGAGGTGATAGCGCCGGTAGTGGCTTCGTCATGGCGCGACGGGGCCAACGACAGCCGAGCCATAGCCAGGCCAAAGGCAGCCATGGTCGGCCACGCATAGCAGCGCGCGCACGCGCGACCAACGCGGCGACGCCGAACGCCCGAGCGCGGTGATCGTGGCCACACGACCAACTAGCCCGAGACATGTGATGTGCACGAATTTTAAAGCGCTCAACACGACCAAACGGTTGCTCCAGGAGCCAAACCAACTTCACCATGCTCAAGATGGCATATGAGACTACCAAATCGAGTTATAACACTACACCACTCTTTAACCCAATCTCTCATAATAAATTGCTAAACATAGCAATGTCTAGCTGTTGGCAGACTTGAAAATTTCTAAATTTTTGAGCTGTATTTGTTTTCAAGTTCCGTTTCTAGACTATTAGAAATACCAGCTAGTAACATTATTTTTCTACAGCAAGTATTTTATTGTTATCTACAAAATTTTCACTTCATACTTTATTTAAATGTCACATACATGTTCTGTAGTATTTTTTGTTTAATAAAAATTAGTTTCAAACCCTACTTGATATGCATAAACTATCGAATCAATTTTTGTTTAGCATTTTTATTGATCATTTGGAGTTACGAAAATTAATCTACACACTTTATCACATACATTATCACAAAAACATGATGCTCATGATATAGTTTGGCAAGTTGTTTAAGCGGTAACACCGAGGATGTTACGCGGAGGGAGTATTGTTTTTGCTTATCATCTACTACTAAAATGATATTGCTGTTAAAATCTGAAAAAATCAGAAAAACAGGAAGATCAAGAAGATCATCTACTAGTGTCAAGTCATGGTTTATGGTTAGAAGATAGGCGGAGAAAGCTTATGTATACGGGGGTGAAAAAGAAGATCAAGATCATCTCGAAACTTCATGTCATGTCATGGGGACGGAACGAACAACGAATAGTGTAGGGATTAATTAAAGAGTGAGCAGGTCACATGTGCGTAGTTCCACAGGGCGGCACAGGCACACATAAAGAACGTTGCTTTCGGATAGCTCTCATGGGCGTCCTGTGAACATGCACGTCCACACCGCACACTCCAATCCACGCACGCACCCTCCCAAAATAAGGGAGGAAAAAGATGCACATAAATGTTTCTTGAAGAAAGATAAATGTTTTTTAGTCTGTCTACTTAACCTATGTAGTTTCAACACATGAATTTTTTTACGCTATAAAATTAAGATCCAACAGCCTCAATTCTTCTTCTATCTCTAGACAATCATAAATCACAAGATCATAGATCCATAAATCCATATATAAAAAACAATTTTTTCTATGAAAAAACAAATCACAAATCGTAGAGGAAGACATACCTGAAGCCGGACACACGAGGCGTCAGCGTCTCCACATCTCTAGACACGAGGCGTCAGGCTTCTGCCTCCAGCTGCGTCAGGCGTCAGCCCACATACAAGGCACAGCCCAGCGATCGGACAGAGGAAACGACACACGCGAGTTGAAAAAAGAGAGATAAAAAATCTATGTGTTTTTTTTAAAACATATATGTGTTATATAGTATTTTTGTTTTTTTAAGAAAACAAGTGAAAATTATGGTAGCCTCAATTCCAAGAGCCAAGAACATGAACACCATGTGCACTTTTCCATGTATTTCCTTCCTCTCTAAAAAAACACATGGAATACAGACAACTGTTCCAGATACGAAGGCTACGAGTACAGTAGTAGTATTTTTCTTCTTTATTGCTGCTAACCTAGTACAATCTAGCGTCGTCGAATCGATCGATGCGTACGCGCGAAATAGTGGCGCACCATCAGCGCTCGCGGGAGCAGGAGCAGCGACGATCCAAGCACGCCGGCCGGCGGGCCGGCGGCGTCACAGGTTCATGAGGCGCAACCTGGAGGGGCGCGGCTGGAAGTCCCCGACCCCGCGGCGGCGGCGGCGGCCGAGCTCGCCCGGGCCGCCGCCGATCCTCTGGAGCAGCAGCGCGCGCACGGACCGCCCCCTGGCCGCCCTGCCAGTGCCGCCCCTGCTGCCGGCGCCGTGCACCGCCTCGCCGCCGCCTGGAGCGGCCGGCCCGTTCCGGTGCCGGCTGCAGCGGAACGACCCCGGGTGGTTCGTCGGCGAGCAGAGGCACGTCATCTTCTTGGTACCGGCGACGGCGGCGGCGGATCTCAGGACTCTGGCAGCGGAAGAGGTAGAGCATGGTGCGGAGGCCATGGCTGTTCCTGGTGTGCTTGTTCTGGTGGGGTGGCCGTCGCCGGGGCCGGGGCGGCTGCTTTTATACGCGACCGTGCGAGTGCGAGTGCGTCTAGCTGAGCCGTGGCTTGCCTTGTGTTCGCCTGTTCGGTGCGTGTCAAAAAGGCTCGAAGCACCGACGGCTAGTTTGGTTGTCAAATTTTGGCAAAACGATACTGTAGCGTTTTTGTTGTTATTTGATAATTAGTGTTTAATCATAGTTTAATTAGGCTTAAAAGATTCGTCTCGTCGATTTCGTCTAAACTGTGTAATTAATTTTATTTTTTATTTATATTTAATGCTTCATGCATGTGTCCAAAGATTCGATGTGATAGAGAATCTTGAAAAATTTAACATTTTGGGAGGTAACTAAACAGGGCCCAATTGTGTTTTACCACGCGTTGGGAGAGCAAGGACCCTTTGTAAATAATTTTTCAAAGAACAAATATATATACGGAGAAACATTTGTTCAACTTCACGGGGAAAATGTAAATTTCGCAACAAAAATTTAATGTTGCAAACGAGTCCTAAAAGGGTCCTAGGTAGGATTTCTAGCTCGGTGAAATTCCGGACGTACTTTCGTGTCGCTGTCCGTTCCGTTCTGCGGGCACGGAACAACAACGCATGCAAGGGGATCATCGGTTTCACTGGCCGTTTTCCTTCTTTATTATTACACTGGTACTTACTTAAGCGTGTCGTTGAAGCTCACTCGCTTGAACTTGAACACCTAGTGTGTGTTTGGTTCCAGGATATTCATGGATGGATGGGATATCCATGGATACAGGGTGTCTGGTTGGATAGACAAACTGAACCTGGATATTTATAATAGAGAATATTCTGGGTAGATGCTAGATATTCTGGCCCTCAAAAATTTGGCGGATGAGAAAATCCACATGTTGATTAGCGTATGTTTTGTGTGACAATTAGAGTAGTATAGTGCTAATTAACATATTTTACTTTTAATTAGTGATTATAATGATAAGATTAGTGTCGGTGCATATTTATTAGGGTATAATTAGTTGTTATTATTCTTAAATAATAGATATAATTAGTCCAGTATTTTCATCACATGCAATCTTATCTATCCAACTAAACAGAAAAATAGCATGTCTCATCCATCCAACCAACAGACAACATGGATATCCATATCTCGAAATCCATAGATGACCGTATCACATCTATCTTTGTCCTCGGAACAACACACCGTACAGGCTAGGAAACTTTAAACTGAACTGCATCGACCAATAGAATAGTAGTAACGTACAGTATGTATACTACTAATCTAATGCAGAGAGTCAGAAAATATATGGACACAAGCTGACACAGAGAGGATGTGCGCTGATGCATGATCTCATCAGAGCACGTAGTGGAAGAAGAACCATATCGGGACCGAAAGGTTGTTCAGCTTCGATAAATGAATATTTCCTTTACCTTTTCCGTTCTTGAAATGAAATGCTTCTTTCCGTCCGGGAGCTGTTCTTTCCTGTCTGTCAGTAGCGCGAAGCAGAGCACCGTCCCTCATTCAGAAAGCTTGGAAATATATACGTAGCACTTTATTATATTTGCAAATCGCCCTTGCCTTGCTTCATCAGTGGAACGCACAAGTGACTTTCTCGGGTTCGAAATTTCAAAGGCGATGCAAGCATGTGTGCTTGCCAAAAACCGTACAACTGCATTTGTCTTTGCACGTGGCAGTGACGACGACGTTTCTGCGTTTGGGTGGGGTTTGTCGTGCCCAGCGGCCAGCTGCATCGGCCGTGACTCAGAACGCCTTCCTTTCGTGTAGGAGCCGCGGCGCCCTGCGCCTAACCATTTTGTTATCTTGCGCAAGTGCACGCACGCACGATCCCACATTACGTGGAATCCCTCGTCTTCTGAACGTCCTACTCCGACAAAATAACTTAAAAACGGACATATGATTGTACGGTGTCATCGCCAATCGTGCCCTGTCCTGCGTCCAGAGGACTAGAGGAGGAAGGAAGGAAGGAAGACACACACATCCCATGTGGCGGAATCACGCACGCAAACACCAACTGATTCCTTCCCCTTCAAAAAGCTAATTAATACTCTCTCTCTATCCAAGTATAAAGTCAATTTTCTATAGTTAAAGACCTTTAAACTTTAGAGTTAAAGTCTCCAAACAAATAATCTAAAATTAACTCTAAGCTATAGCCCTTTTCACATTAGACGTTTAGATCTTAAAACTAAGCTAAAGTGCTCTAAAGTTTTTAAAAACTCTATAGTTTAGATGAGGGGATCCAAACAGATTAAATATACCATCAAGATATATAGTATCATTGTGAATTTATGGGAACCGATTTGGTTAAATACACTTATTTTTTGAGGAAAAATATAGTTTTATTTAGAACAAAACTAAAACTACCAACATTTAGGACAGACGAAGTTAAGTGAGGGTTACCATCACACTGATCGGCACTTACTGCCTCTAAGGCTAGTCTCAATGGGGTTTTCATGTCATTGTTTCCAAGACTCTTCTGTATTGAAAACAGTACAAACAAGTTTTATCCCCATGAAATTTGTTTCATCTCATGAAATTTTTATTTAATCTCTCTTCATTAATACTATGCCATATCAGCTTACTTAATATCCATGAATCCCCCATTGAGACTAGCCTAATGTGTTTTTTTTTTTTTTCCTCACACTATGCTGGTTGCCTTTTTTTCTATTTTGATGAGTAGTTTACTTTTCTCAATACCAAGTTTTTAGGAGCCTCAATGAATTAAAAAATTACTCCAACCTGCGTTTTTAATTAAATAACAAATGTTCTAGTTTTATTTATTAACTGTTCATTTTGTCATTATCGACTTTTTAGTCGCCCTGGACGAGTAGGTAGAGCATACAACATAATTCCACGCCATGAAGTTTATTCAAATATTATTATACAAGTTCACTATCATCACGGAATCTTGGCATCAGTCAGAAGAACACACTTCCATGACTAAGACATATGGTTCTCTTACTTAGTACATGTAGTATATATTGCCTAGTAAGGAGAGAAACTTAATCCACTAGTTGCAAGTCAAAGTTCTCTTGCATGTAGCATGATAAGGATGACTGGACCATCAACCACTAATCTCATCAATCTGCTTGCTTGGTTTGACCTCCCCTTAGTCATAAGGATTTTTTTAATTTATCTCTCAAACAATTCCATTGGCAGGCTTCATATATAACAAGTGTTTCTAAACCATAGAATTGGTACCCGAAGAAGACAGACACATACGTACTTGTTCTACACAGTAACTTCTGGGTCGATCAAATTCACCTTTACATCAGTATGCATGTACTCACTCCGTCTCAAAAAGAGTGATGTTTTCAACTTTCAGACATCGTGTTTGACCGTTCGTCTTATTTAAAAAATTTGTGTAAATTATAAAATAAATAAATCATTATTAAAGTACCTCTAATGATAAAACAAGTCATAACAAAATATTTGATATTTATATAAAACATTTGAATAAGATGGATAGTCAAACAAGATGTCTGAAAGTAAAAAACGACATTTTTTTTTAAGACGGAGGGAGTATCTGCTGGTGAACAACCGTACCAATACAGTTTTTAAGAGAAAGCGGCAAGAGCTTTGCTGGATTTTTATTAGACGATAGAAAGCGGAAACAAAATTACAAAAGAATTACAGAGGGAAACAGGCCACTAAGCAATCTAACTCAGCCCCCAGGCCGCCTCCTTGACCTGTTTTCCCTTCCCAGCAACTGAAAACAAAGAGAGCTTCCTCTGAAGCTAAACACACACCACTGATCAAAACCTGACCAAGGAACACAGCTATAGCTACACAGTGTTTAAAAAAATTTGGAAAAGGTTAGCAGGAGCACTGTCATATCATTTAAGAAGGGAAGCAAGCCGAGTTGGACAATAGAGAAGAATAATCTTGGCAATGGAGAAGAACACTAGTGTTGCATGCCATTTGTTAGGTCACCATCTTTCACCCTCAACTTTGGCGGCCCAAACAAACCAGCTTTTTCCCTCCCTCAGTTACCCAATGCTGAAGAGGGCAATACCTGTAGTACCTTTCATCCAGACAACAACAACTTTATTGCATATATATGTCACTTCCAAAGGCTTATCCAAAGCAATGTTTTTCTTGTTATCTTTTATCTGAAAAAAAAACGAAAGCCAAAGATGAAGATGACATTGCCATATTAATGGCCAGCTAATCGCTCCAGAGACTTTGCTGCTTAGTCCAGCCGGCCAAGCCACGCTCTTCCAGGTCAAGCCAAATTAACCTGACGGTAACATCTTGAGCCTGGATCAGAAGCAGCAGCCAAACACCAGTGGACAGCGACGCTAACAACTTCCTTGACAGTTTCTCCAGGCACAGCTGTGTGAAAATTACTTACCGGGGATATTCTCTGTGCCGAAAGGTCAGTTGGTTTTCCAGATGAAACCAGCTTCTGCATGCGTTTGTAATATGCAAATATGAGCAAAAAAATAGTTAAGGCTCATCAATCAATTGGTAAAAATAGCAAATGCGATTCAGTGCTCCTTGTAAGATCTTTTTCGTGATGATAGTCTTTGGTTTTCACCGACAGAAGGGGACCGGTTGTATGGCCCTTAGTTATCTGTGGCTGGTCTATACCAATACCAAGTGTTTGTTTGTGAAAGATGGGAACAATTTCGCAAAACATGGTACAGATAGTTTTTTTATAAGATGGTACAGACAGCTGACAAGGCTAAACTAATCAGTAGCTTTCTCGCCGGTTAGAAACATCGCACTGGCTAGCATTTTTTTTTGTCTTATCAAGAGGATATTTACAAGGGAAGGAAGAATCAGTCAGATTGCTCAAAATTAAAGCCTTTAGGATACATCACCGAAAGATGGCCCGTTTGGCCTCCAAGGGCCACTCTCTACTTTTCTAGTATCTCTAACAGAAGAAGAACACAGATCACTGTCACATAAGAACTATTGGCAAAGATTTCAGTAGCTTTGTGGTTTCTGTTCGTTGCGA